GGACAGTTCCCCCTGCAGCTGCTCCTGTGGCGTTGAACGGGAGGGGCTGAGACCGGTCGCTGATGCAACACCAGTTTCTGGTGTCCTTCTCCACCCTCAAGATCGCCGCCGCTCCGGTGGCCATATCCAGCTGCGTGGACATCTCGTCCTTGGCCGTCTTCATGGAGGCAGCCACGGCCTCGTACTTCTGGCAGGCAGCCAGCTCGTCTCTCGCCACACCCTGCAAAACCACCCAAACGTCGATTCTGATTGGAAATCGCAACCCTAGGGTGGCAGGCCTGAGCATGTTCCTTGCCACTGCTGGCCTCCTGCAAATGCTGCTTCAGCACGCCGACCTCTGCCTGACTGACTCGAAGATAGTTAGTCGCTGCCGTCGTCGCTGTCTCTCTTTCTCTCTTCCGCTCCCTTTCTCGCTCGCTCTCTCGCTCTGTCTCTCTGTTGCACTCTGGCTCTCTCTCTCTCTCTCTCTCTCTGTCTCTCTCTTTCTTTCTCTCGTGCGATTCGGACGGAATATCTTGAAAGAGCTTGCCCCCGCTTTCTCTCTCTCTCTCTCTCTCTCTCTCTCTGTTTCCTCTTCTTTCGTCTGTTCCTGTCTTCCTGTCTTTCTACGTTTCCTCCTCGTTCGGGCCTCCAACCTGTCGCCTCGGAAGCGCTCCTTCTGGACCTCCGCTATCCACTTCTTCCGCATGGCCTCTCTATCCTGTCCTGAGGGGAGTTCCTCCTTGCGCTTCTTCTCCTTGCGGCGACGCTCCTCGTCGTCGCCGCCGCCACCTGAACCTGAGGCCCCGGTTGCACGGCCCCCGCCGGACCATCCATGGCCGCTCCACTGCTGCCACGCCATGAGAGTGCTCACTGCTAACGCACTTGAAGGGTGCTCCGTTCTGAAAAGTAATTGCCAGTATCACGCTTCTGGGAGCCCGAAAAGATCACGGTTGTGCAACACACTGGCACTGGCAGCGGCAGAATCAAAACTCGCCCTGCCGAGGTTCCTGCGCAGATAGACGTCTCCAGGCCAATGGCGCAAGCCTCAAACACAGTCGACCCGGGAATGTGTTCCAGGGTTCCTGCATAAAGGGGGAGGCCTCCATGGCACCTCAAATCATGAGACCCCGCTCTGTAACTCAGGGTCCTTAAATCAAAGTACCTGAAAGTTCAACCGCACTAAAGCTCGCGAAACACCGGAACCATCAGTCAACTATGCCACATGATTGCAATTGCCGACTCAGAATAGGCTTGGCTGCAGAGGCACTGTCATTGTGGACAATCACTGTCGAAGTGTCGGGTGTGACAACAACCACTGCACCGGTTGTCGTTGTGCAGTTCAGTGTCCTCTTGAAGTGCAAGCTAGTACTGCGCACTTGAACAAAACATTTTCTAACGGAACCCTAAACCCGACACATGAGTCTTGCCTTGCTGATTTACCTCCCTCCCCCGCGGCATGGCTCTCTCAGGCGGTTGCCGGCCACGGTGCTCGCCCGCAGGTGGGCAGGCCTGCTCCTGGAGTGAGTGAGGGTCTTGCAAACAAGACTTCGGAAGTGCGACTTCCTAGAACGTTTCGGAAGTGCTTTCGGGAAGTGCTTTCAGAAGTGACGTGTTCCACAGATGCACCCGAGCATGATTTATGACTCTTCCGGTGGTCCTGCAGTTTTGTCGGAGACAGCTCCTGCGTGCATTTGCGATATCCGATAGTGACTGGACTGATTATCATTGCACCTCTAAACGCCGCAGACAGTAGCAGCCCTAGGCCCTGTAGGTCATGTTTACGCAAGCACAGCTTTCCTGACCAAGTCTTGTCTGTGGAAGACATGGAGCTGCCCGTGGTTAAGGAGATGCGCCAGATGTCTATCCGAGACCTGCGCAGCATTGGACATTTTGCATGAGCTGTGGCACGAAGTATATCACGGAGCCCTAGCTGAACAAGGCTAGGCTAGCTTGTGCACAACCTGTCACATGACGGAGTCATGCTGCCAGTTGCGCTGGGACCGAGAACGAATGACTGAGGAAAGAGTGCGACCCATGTATTTACAGGGCAGCACAACACACAGACACCGGAAGAGAGACAAAAGGAGAGAGAGAGAGAGAGAGAGAGAGAGTGTGCGAGAGAGACGAGAGACAGAGCGAGCGCGCGCGCCTGCGCACCTGTTTTTTTGAACCACCCAGCCCCCGTTCCCCTTCGGACCCCGCATCCCATAACAATCCCACTGAACTTCGGACGAATGCGGTGCGGAATCCAAACCTGAAACTCGAAGCACGGGCTCCCTTCTAGGATATCCATTTTTGCGGACCTGTTCTGGCATGGCTTCTAAGAGTAAATCTACGTGCGTACAGGGGTGAAAGCCGGCTCTAGCTCTTCGCAGCTTCACCGAACCAACTTCAGCTTATACTAACCTACAATGTCAGGTGTGGATGACATGCCGGCTTCCAGCAGCTCAATTACGAAAGCTCACACAATGCTCTGCTGTCACGCAACGGTCACATGCCGGCGGCTTCTAAAATCCCAGACAGCACCAAACGGAGCAGATCTACTGGAACAGAATTCCCGACAGCTTGCCCCAGTCCGCGTGCGGACAAAATGTCGCGCGCAACAGACGCAGGATCCATGCCCATGAGCTTCAACAGTTCATCCAGTGTCATTGTGCGTCCCAGCCAGGTCAACCACGCACCCGCTGGTCTTGAGCGCAAGAGGCAGGGAACTTGTCCTTTCATGACGTTAGGAGCACGCTTTAGGCTGCTGAAGATGTCGGCAAACCAGTGCTCCGTTGATGGATCACCTCCCATCCCTCGAATCCGCGAATATGCTTTCCTCAGCTGTGTCTGCTGACCTCTAGCTTGTGGTAGGCGTTGCCAGTCATCGCCAGGCAGGGGCCGGATGAAGTCGTGGATCGGACGGTTTGCATTAACCTGGCAGGAAAGCTAAAGGAAGAACTCCTTTCAAGACAGCGGTTCATGGACGCATCACGTTCATGGAAAAACATGGCCTCTGGCGGCCACCTCATCGGATGCTGCAAAGCCGAAGTCAGGCAACCGGTCACAAACAAGCGCTCTCGATGCTGGGGCAAGGTGGTGACCTTGCATGTGTCCAACACCTTCCAACTCACAGAGTACCTTGGATTAGTAGCAACTAGTGGTGCGCCTCTAGAGACTGACTCTTGCTCACGACTCACACAAGATGCATTAGAGCAGCAACTTCTGGCCCCTGTCATCCGTCATGCCGTCCAGGACTCCCAGAATCATGGCAAAGGTTTCGGGGTAGAGCGTCAACAAACCACGGACATTCTCGAGGCAAAACACTCGGGGTCGTCTGTGCCTGATGTAGCGGAGGATGGGGAAGATGCACGATCCACTCATGTGTGTCAAGCCTGCTTTAGCCGCTGGCTGGCATTGGCTAAAACCCTGGCAAGGAAAGCCAGCGAAGAACAGGTCGCAGCTCACGGCCATCCAGTCATCCAGAAAAACATCGCAGAAGACGTAGTCGTGAGTATGGATGCTCATGCAAAGCTTGCGCAGGCTAGCGTTGCTCTCGCAGCAGAAAGTTGCTCGGAAGCGCCGCCCCATACCATTCAGGCTCCATAGCTCGGCACACAAGCCAGAGCACACCGAGCCGACCAAAATGGTGTCCTCGCAAGGGCGTATCTCGTCCGCAGCCTCAGGCAATGGGTGCTTGTCAATGTGGCCCAAGACGCTTTCGGCAGTAGGCACATGCTTCATGACTGGCTTTCCTGGGATCTTCTGCAACGCAGGCCGCTTTTGGATCTGTTCGCACTTCTGAACCTTCTTGGGGGCACGACGGCGGGCTTTCTTCACGGGCATCACGTCCTGAACATCATCGTCATCGTCCCAGTCCACATTCAACATGGCATGCACAGCCACTGAGTCACGAGCATCAGGCTGCTGCAAGCTGGAGCAAATGCATCCGGACAACGGCAAGCATGGACAGTTGCAGCAGCGCACACGCTCAGCTCCACCTGCACTCCCTTCGCAACTGCAACTTAAACGCGGGCGTGCGCAAGAGCTTCACGAATGGACTTTTCTTCCTGGCGCATTGCCGGGCACGATTTCTTCAAGGCAGCGAGGCGCCGACGACGGCGGGGCCCCCAGAATTTGGAGTCAACAGCAAAAGAAAGCTTTCTCACTGAGTGCGCATTGCCCGCCAAGAATTCTCGAGAGGGACTCTACTCAACTAGATTCTTTCGCTGATGACCCAGGGGATCCAAAACAGTCTGGCGTTGTGTGTCTTGAGACGCGCAGATTCTGTCAAAGCGACGAAACTGTACATGTGTTTTCGTGGCACCAAACACCTGCCTGACGAGTGTGAATACTTTTGCGAAGCTCTCAAAGGGAGACACGAAAGCACCAAGCCGCTTGACGCTTTCAAATCATGGCCGCCCAAACTGGCAGCCGTGCTCACCCAGCAAGCTTAGCCAGAAGATCCTGTCTGGCCTGCTCTGCAGCGCTTGCGCCCTTGCTCTTCTTGGCAGGCGGCTCCGAACCGCCGGGAGTCGAGCTTTGAGCACCGGAAGTGCCCGCGTTTGCGGAAGACCCCGATGTGCCCGTGGAAGGAGGGGCGGGATTGGCTTTTGCAGCCGCCTTCGACTTCGACTTGGCCTTGGGAGCGGGTGCGTCCTTGGCGTCTCCGTCCGCCTTCTTCGTCAAGTTCTTCACCAAATCGGCCCTTGGCTGCTCCAATCCCCTCAGAGACCGCGAAGCTTACTAGTTGAGGCGTTGGCTTGAAGCGTGCATCGTGCGTGTGTGCGTGTGTGTGTGTGTGTGTGTGCATGCATCGCCATCGCTTGTTCGTGCATCGTGCGGGTCTTGCGCGTGCCTCGCACGTGCGCGCATGGTGCGTGCTTGCGTGCATCGTGTGTCTGTGTGTATGTGTGCGTGTGTGTGTGTGTGTGCGCTTGTGTGCATCGTGCAACATCGTGCGCGCAGACAGACTCTGGAGCTAAAACAAAGAATTGGACGCAAGCCGTGCGAGAGTCAATCCAACCTCGTAGAGCTCATGCTCTGGATCCAGCATGGCTTTGTAGAGCTCCGCCCGAATCTTGGCCTTCAAAAGCTCCAGGTGATCCCCATTCACAACGATTCCCACGAAAGGGATACGACGCTCGATGCACCTGAGATGCTGCAACGCTCGCAGGAAAAGAATGCCGGACTCCAGGCCTGCGTAAAGTAAAGACGAGGCGCTTCATGGCCATCAAGTGGTCCATGGCCAATGCCTGGACCATCACCTTTACGTTAAAGGCATTCAGAACCTCCAGGTAGAGAGACGGATGGGTTAGGTGCCAGGAAATTGGTTCCCCTGCGTTGCACTGGGGCTTTGCAGGTGGGTCTGTGACAGTCCCACCAACCAGGATTTTCGTAGATGAGGTGTAGACTTTCTTGCGGTCAGCCGGGCTGACAAGCCAGGTATCTTTGTGGTCCAAGCCTAGCCCTGCAACAGGGCTGAAGACGTTCCCATTGTTGGCACCCTCGAACACAATGCGCTTGCGCTTCGGAAGCCACAGCCCGTCGAGACTGAACACATTCATAGACTCCATCTGATTGCAAATGCCGCGAATGCGCTCTCTGCTGTCTGCGATACCCTCCAAAGAGTACACCACATAGAAGGGATTGCGGGTCTTGGTCATCATGCTGCTGCCCGACGTGGCCGCATAATTGGTAAAGACGCTCGTGATTTGCGACGTGAGGCCCTCGCGGCCCCCGTCTAAGATCGCGACAATGTCCCCTCTCATGAGCTCTCCCTCCTCCCGAATGTGGCAACATGTACGGGCATGTAACAACGCGGCATGTAATGTACTGCTCCCCAACCCTGCTTCAGCACTTAGACCCCCGTCCTGGCTCGGGTCCTCGCCCACGCCCTCGAAGCGAGCTTTCACGAAGGCATGCAGGAACGTGGTCACCCAGGACTTTTGGAATGGCGGGAGCCGGCAATGGGGCAAAGCCGAGGCTTCCCCCATCGTTTTCGTGTCCATGTACAACATGACAGATCCCTGCGAGGGAGCCGTGGGTGGCAGATTTGCATCGTACGGCCTGCAGCTCTTCACCACCGTGTTGCCGAGGGCCGCTGCCAGCTCTGTGAAGGAGGATCCAGTGTTTGGAATGAGCTTCACGAATTGGTCCATTGTTGTCTGGATGTGTTCCTCCCATTGCAACTATCATCCAAGAATGCAAGCTTACAAAATCATGCTTGCTCCCGACCCTCCATGCAATGCTAAACCAATCTGGCGCCGGCCTGCCACCTTCCAAGCTCGTTCGAGTCATCCACCGCTGCAATCTTAGGGCCCACGAAGCTCGTGTCCGGCACAGCTGCGGCGGTGCTGGGCACCACCTCACCTTCGGCGGCTGCCGGAGCTGAAATCCCTTTGTTGGCCAGAGCAGTGATTTCATCAAGACTGTCGGCCAAATGGGCGCATTGTGTCAACAAGTCTTTGAAAACAATGGTTCCGCGCAGGGATGTCTTGTAATGACCGTCGTTTGTCACACCGTAGACATCTGCCTGACACCGCCACTGATATATTCACACACTCGCAGAGCAACAGGACAAAGACTACGCGGGAGCCTAATGTCTCGCACGCACACGTGGCAACAAGTCAAAACCCGAGCCAATGCCTTCAGGAAGGCGATAACCTTCCGCGCAGCCTCACTCACTGTGCTTTGCCACTGCAGGTTCTCGGAACGCGAGTTGTCCCGGAAGAGCTCGTGCGAGGCGCACCGGTCTCGGATCTCCTTTTTGTCATCGAATGGCATCGGCAGCGACTCCAAGAATGACGTCAGCACGTGCTGCAGCAGTTCGTGCTTGAAATTGAACAGCGTGATGAGGCCCTTGCCGCGTGCGGGGTCCTCGCGGGTCTCTGAAGTTAGCAGGTTGCAACAGGCATATTGGGAAAGCCAACAAACACAGACACTTGAAAGCGAGGCACCAGAGTGCTGGCATTGATGTCCCGCGGAAACGCGATCTGTGCTTCCAGCATGTACTTGACAGTGCGAAGCGTCCATGAGATCGGCGTAGCCTTCTGCACGACTTTCTCCAAAGCCCCAAGCTGGGAAAAAGGGGAGGCCTTGCCCCAGCCTTCCTCCAACTCGAAGACCAAGCCTCGCAAGTCGCCGTCCTGAAGCAGCCTGCTGTAAATCTTCTGCGCCGCGCAGACAAACTCGAGATTCACCTTCTCGAGCACTTTCGATTCGCGATTGGGGATGTCGCGAATCCAGGCTTCGTAGACTTGCTCGTTGGTGATTTTGGCACCTCCCTTGGCGGCCTCCAAACGCTTGCGGAACAGCATGAGTTCCATGATTCTCTGCGGCCCACTGCGAAGCACAGCTTCGAACTCGTCCGCAACATTGTTGCGGAGATTGACCTGAGAATGCTTCCCCGCCCTAGATTGTAAAAGGGCCCTATGCGAAACTACCGCAATGTTCCGTGATGCCTCAGACGCATTGTCATGTTGTGTCGCAGAGAACGTACAAATTTATATAGGTTTCTGATGTCTCTGAGGCAATCGCGGAGCGGATGAAGCTTGACATGGGAGTCGAGTGCCTCTCGAAAGACATGGACACGCTTAGCACCAGCTTTCTCCAGAACCTCACAGAGTCTGAAACGGCAAGACTTGCGAGGTCTCATGATGAGTCTAGTGTTGAGGGGCCTCCAAAAAGTGTTGTGGAGGGACTAGTAACACGATCAGTTTATATAGCAGCCGGGGCACAACAGTTCGGCTTCTTCCGCGCCGCTGCTGATGATCTCGGATATAACGAGAAGCAGGCTCTGGTCGTGCTCCTCTGCAGAGATGCGTCGGAGATTGCCCAGTTCTAGGCTGCCGTCGCTGCCGATGGCGATGATCACGGTGTAGTCGAAGGCCCGCTCCCGTTTAATCTTCGCCTGCAGCATCCTCACCCCAGACCGATTGGTGGGTACGCTTTTGGCGGGACTCCACCTCAGATTTAGCCAGAAGAGGTTTCCGGCCGCGGAATACTTCCCGTGGCGAAAGAACGCCGTGTCGTATTTCCGCTGGTCAAAGGCGTCCTGGCAGCCCACAGCCACTCAAACTTGCCGATTCCAGAGGAACTCTAGAAAAACCAGGACGAGGTCAAGTCAAACCCCAAGCCACACAAACTTGACATGCAGTCTGGTAGCTAGAGGCAACGGCCCCGACACGCAGAAAGCAACGCAACTTTGCCAGGTCTAGGGAAACCGCAACTGTAGCTAGAGGAATAAAGCCCGTGACACACGAAGCCACTCAAGCTCGCCAGGGCTACGCAAACATAAGCACCCAAATAAGGCAAAACAAACAGAGGCAACACGCATACAGCCAATCAAACTTGCCACGGGAAAGGGAAAAAGGCCCCAGGCCCCGTGACGAGCTTCAGGACGGGCCCCGTGACACAGGCCACCCGTTAACCAGCCGTGGCCTTCATTCCTGCAGGGGGGTTTCATTCCCAGCCCTCCTCTATTGAATCCCGCCGGGCTGTTGTAAGCACAGGGGTGCGCACCCCTATCCTTCCATCAGCCGGCCAATTGCCCGGCTGATGGAAGGACTGCTTGTGACACCCTCCTCCTTGATGATAACAACAGGGGTGGGGCACCCCTGTTGTTACATCAAGGAGGAGGGTGTCACAAACAGTCCTTCCATCAGCCGGGCAATTGGCCGGCTGATGGAAGGATAGGGGTGCGCACCCCTGTGCTTACAACAGCCCCGCCTCTGGCACAGCCCACGGTCGGGCAGTTCCCCGACCGTGTGTTGGCATGGGCCATTCCTCCTTAACCAGAGGCCCCTGACGTCACGCCTCTGTGAAAACCGCAGCAAAAAGCCCCGTAACGCACCCAAGCCTCCACGTCACTGCAGCAGTTCCCCGACCGTGTGTTGGCATGGGCCATTCCTCCTTAACCAAAGGCCCCTGACGTCACGCCTCTGTGAAAACCGCAGCAAAAACCCCCGTAACGCACCCAAGCCTCCACGTCACTGCAGCTGTGACGCGGAGGCGGGTTTGCTGCGTCACGGGCCCTTTTGCTAAGGTTTCCGCACAGACGTGACAGTTGTAGTTGGGATGCGGAGGCTTTTGGGCGTTACGGCTGCCGTTCCTGCGTTTTGAGCACAGGCGGGACGCGGTCGCGGGTTTGTGTGCGCTCTTCTTTTCCTAGGCGTGCCATTTCAGCTGGTGCAGGTGTGACGCGGAAGCGGGTCTGGGTCTGTCACGGGGCCTTTTGCTGAGGTTTCAGCACAGGCGTGACAGTTATAGCTGGGATGCGGAGGCTTCTGGGCGTTACGGCTGCCGTTCCTGTCTTTTGAGCACAGGCGTGACGCGGGGGCGGGTTTGTGT